TGTTCCATTGAAGTTTTTTTCTGTTTTCTTGAGTTTAGAGTATGATTAATGGTCTATATCATTTCGATATGCAGCAGCATTGAATGATAGTGCTTCGCTCCGCTAAAATGATAGTGCTTTAGAAGTATCTCTACTGAAAGTTGATAGACCTTAAAATTTATTGCATTTTTTTATATAGGGGAATTTTCTGCGCATTCATTAAAAATATTCAATGCGCTTGAGTATTTTGGAAAGTTTATGAGTCAAGTTTTCTGTTTAAAACTCAGAGGGATGCCAGGAAGGGTAGATGATGCTACGTATTAATTCTAATACTCACTCATTTGTTCGCTAACAACATGTACGAATGTGCACACTGGTACCAATTCGTACACTGGTACTAACATGTACGACTGTGCACACTGGTACCAATTCGTACACTGGTACTAACAACATGTACGACTGTGCACACTGGTACCAATTAGTACACTGGTACTAACAACATGTACGACTGTGCACACTGGTACCAATTCGTACACTGGTACACGCCTTAGTTTGTACTTAAGTGGTACGAATATTGTCCATAGGGAGACTCTAACGACCTCAGCGCAGAGGTGCACGTACGAGGTAGTTTGGGACAATCAGGATCGATGGTCATGGAAGGAAGCCACAATATCTCGTTCACCAACTATGAAGATTCACATGATGATCTTGTTGTCGTGTGAATAGTTTAAGATTACTAAAAAATTATAAAAATTTATTCACGGGATTGTATTCAATGTCTTTCTTTGTTAGTGCTCAAATATTGAAAACTTATGTTTGAAACCTTACTCTTACGTAACCAACAAACTCCGTTTTCTTCAGTTTTAGAATTGGTATGGAATTTTAAGTTTATTCTCTATATTAGCAGTTCAACCCAGCGTTGATCAATCATAAATTCCAATCATAATTTACTAATTGAAGTAATGTTCAAATGATGATGCACTATTCAACAGTACTTCATCATAGAACTTCACTATAATTCCGGTTTCGTAATTTGAATAAGATTTCGAATTTCATTGTAACATGAACCCTAAATTTATTAAATAGAACGAAATTTTTTTTAGTCTAAGAACACTATTTCTATGACCATTGAGTATTTTATCAGCTATCTGACACGGCAAGGCTAGTGTGACAGATAGAAGAATATCGTCTGGTTCTCATTGTTCTGCATACTCGATATCGGGGTGAAAATATTTCAATACTTAACATTCCCCTCCCCCTATTTTCAGTATAGTTAATTTATATTGTACACGATTTACTCATAAAGTTTTACACGAGAATATTTTCTGTTCAGCAATTTTTTTTCAGCGACACGAAATTGCTTGTGATGAAAATTGGACTTCAGTTCAAAATCATTACCTTATAAATCGGTAAATAATGTTTCTACTGAATATAAATTCAATTGTTTGTTTTTAAGCACTGCATTTATTTTAATTTCAAGGCTCATTTTTGAACGTGGAACTTGAATCTTAAGTAAACCAGATTTGTTTAACCAAGTGTGAAACACGTATTCTCAGCCTCATTTCATACAACATATTATCATAGGAATTTTTTGAAAAATTCACGTATGATTAAATTGTATTATATTGAATTTGGAATGACGACACAAAAGCAAATGGTTATATACCTCGCACATCCCGACACCTACCGTGTTTACTGCCAGGTTTAATAACCTCGACATCTGGTGATCGCGTGATACTAATTCGCATAATGGCATCTGATGTTGAAATAACGTTGATTATACGTTGTTTCAACGAACCAGACAAACTCGTTGGGCTGTGCTGGAATCTTGATCAAGTTCACGATGCCCACTCCAATGAGAGTTTCAAAGATTCTATTATCGATTCACTCCTTCGGTTTGCCTTCAATTACCATTAAGAAAACTTCAGCAATTTTGTTCATGGTTAGCATCCAAGATTTTGAATCGACAGTACACTGTTAGAAAAAACGGTGAAAAAACGGTCCCACCGGCGTTCTAGTGGCCGGTCGCCCCGTGAAAATAAACTGTTTCGTCGTTTTAATCAGATGTTTTACGGATTTCTAGTGTTAAATTAGAATAGAAACGGCGACAAGGTGTTTCTTTTCACGTGCTGATCGGCCACTGAAACGCCGGTAATACCGTAAACGGTAATTTTTCTAACAGTGTATTGGGCTCAATTGTTCCCAGCGGTTGATGCGGTCTCATACCCGTGCGATCTTTGTTCTTATGTTGAAATTCTTTTATATAAATGTTGTGTGCTTATTTAAAGAATCTATGTCCTAACGATACTTTACATTTATAGTCGCATTGCATTTAAACGGGTTACATATTTCAATCGCATACCTCCATTGATGTTGTTAGTATGGCTTCCTAACATAGCCTAATCGTAATTATATTTAATTAACTTCTTGATTGCTCATAGCTAAAAAAATTTGCCAGTTTTTGTTAAATTTTCTGCTCTATATGCATCCTGTTATCTTAAAAAACCAGAAGTGTGGGCATGATATATTGTCGAATTGAATTGCTAGAGATGCTCGCTTATATATTTGGTTGGCAACGCTGGAACACTCAGGATTGTTCTTCCTGATCTCCCCTCAGGACTTGAGCTTTCAGGAGACGTAAATGGGCCTTAGAATCGCTTCTTCCGGAAATATTTTCATCTTGTCTTGTTATGTGAAGGCCATAAACCAATCTGAAGATGGCGGCTATAAATCATTCTCCAGGCCGCAAATATCGAGAACCGAGAATGTTTTGCGCACATTCAGATTATGGATTTTTGGCATGTTTGGCCAGAAGCTCCATTTGAATTCTCTGTGTGTCTGTTGCTCCAGGTTTTTTTACGTGGATTGGCCTAGTCTTCATTGCGTGTTTATTTAGATTTATTACTGTATGATATAGACAATGAGACAATGTCGATGGCACGGAATTTTCGAGGGTCTGTTTTACCGAGGGTCATCTCGTGACTCGTGTCATTGTAAATCTCATCTTTGTGACTGCATTTCACGGGATTGCACAGGACGAATTCCTGAATTGCATATAAATTCACTAAAAGCATTGTAAGTATTTATGCAAGCAAAATATTTATATGAGTAAGGCCTATAAACTTATCATTCATTTTATAGTTACCACGCGTTTTCTTTCTCATGGGTTCAATAACTGGCAGCTTTTCAATTAATTATTACGGTTATACGTTCTAGACTTGTTGACGAAGCGGTTTAGCCATCCAAATTGTCAATGTAGTTTTTATGTGATATCTATCGGTAACTACGGGAGACGTTACGATCGTGTAGGCTGAATTTTATAGCGTCTCTAAAGCCCCTACTATACATCCTTCATTATAAGCGGATGTAAAAAGTCTTGGGATTTTGCTCCAAATATTTAGTTTACTTTCTGCGAGTGTGGACGGTAAATAGCCTGTTCTAGCAAGTTTAAATGAATGGAAGGAGAGTGTTACATCTTTTACATTTTTATGGACGCCATTTTTGGAACTTTTCTCCTAAAAATTTGCTTGCGCGACAACAGTTCCGAATTTGTTGTCCTGAGATAATTTGAAACTTAAAAAATTCCTATTTGCGAATATTGATTTAAATTTTGAATTTCTGTTGTACACTCGATGTTATTATTTATCCTGCTTCTCTACTTTCTTCTCGTGCTATGGTTTTCAAAGATCATTACTTCTTATTACCTACGTTTTCAAAGTCAACTAAGTGACGAGCCTAGAAGCTCTACCATGTGGGTTAATGATTTTCTTCAGGCACTTGAAAACGTCGATTTTTATGTGTCCATTACTTAATACAAATATCCAGACTCGGGTAAAAGATATCTATGGTACCATGGATACAATTTTCTTCTAACCATTCTGATGACATTTGATAGCACAAACGACTCTCTCCATTCCTTTCAAATTTCTTCGTTTCGAAATTAATCACTTCTAATTATAGGAGTGATTCAATCGTAGGTCAATCACTCCTAATTATAGGAGTGATTGATCATGAACCATGAGACAGATAATCAACTTTTCCTCGTTAACTGCAGCCAAGATATTTTTTCTGAGTCGTTAATGTTTTCAGGACTTGTATACTTTAGGAAATTTTCCCTTCATTTTTGTTTTTGCGGCCAATCTTAATTTTCTGGAAGAAGAAATCAAGAAATTAGGTGGTTCATCAATCATTAAGAAATTAGGTTGTTCAGATTCTGATCAAAACGTATTGACAACCTGTAGCTTGCTCGAGTTGAACTACAAAGTTTATAGGAGTTTTGTGCCTCCTAGTACAAATTAAAGTTAGGACAAATTAAAGTCAGGGAGCTAAGTGAGTGTTAGATACATGTAAAATCAAGCAAAGTTTGCTGCATCTTAGATTTGGTACGGCATCAGAAAACGATCTTGTGTTTCAAGCTGATTTGGGTGATATAATAAATACGAGTAATTTAGGTGATTAATACTGATTTGATTTGGGTGACCTAATAAATACCAGTATAGTAAAGCACCCTTGCGTTCACACATAACTGCAAATAATGTAACGCATAGGTAGCCTCTAACAACCTCAGCGCAGAGGTGCACGTTCGAGGCAGTTTGGGGCAAGCAGGATCGATGGTCAGGGTAGGTCGCCGCCTCATAGAGGGCATGGCCTATACTTTCAAAAAAAGTTAAGAGATCGTAAGTTCATCAGATAATCATTGACGGCCTTTCAANAATTACTTTTTTATAGTGATTTTTTTTGTAAATACGCTATTGGATTTTTACAAAATTCATATCCACTTCTTTCAGATTTTTATCAAAGACGAATACAGTTATTATATTTGTGATCAACATGCCGATAAGTTGAATGTGAATTTTTTTCAGAGAGAGAGAGGTACTTTCAACATGCAAGATTCAGAGTTAAGTTTATCCATACTTTTTTTAATTAAATTGCTTGTAAATTGTGTTGCGATACTCGCAGCATTACTGATGAAACGTTTAATACCAATCTTCGTATAGCTGGAAGAATTAATCTGGAATTAATGCCTGTTAGCTCAGTGGTAGAGCACCAGTAGCTTATTGGACAGCTGGAGGTCGCAAGTTCGAACCTTGCACAGGCTAAAGTTTTCTCTTTCTTTTAGTTTTGATACATTTTTAAAAAAATATTTAATAGATATGTATTTACTCCTTTTTTCAAAATATTTGGATAAAGTTTTTAGATAAATGATTATTTAATTTAGATATACCGAGAATCGATCCTTGCTGTTCCTTCCTATTAGGTGACAGCATTTAATGGAAAAGAAATAAAAATATTTAGCTAAAGCCAAGCTACGTCTTTAGACCATTATAAAAGATCCAGCCTTCACTGCTCTAGCGAATATTTTTAGCGACATTTTCTCAATTTATGGAAAAAATGCACTATTGTGCTCGCCATGTCCGTCTGTCTGTCTGTCTGTCCGTCTGTCTGTCCGTCCGTCCGTGACCTCAAGTTTTCGTCGACGAGAAAATGCGCTCTCAGTCACTCACTGCAGTGAGTACTGAGTTATATTTTTTCTTTAATTTGTCCTACAGACCAATATTCTGCCTTAAAACCCGTTTAGATTTCCAATTAAATGCAATGTCAAAATTTCCGCCTTGCACATGTCACCGTCAAATGAATTTGAATATTCCTGCCAGTTTTCTTGCTTTATTTTTTTTAAAAGTTCAGACTGTTATTGATGACGAGCTAAAGCATTTAAAATAAAATGCCTGACATTTCAGCGTCAAGAGTCTCGACATTTTTGTCATTAAATGCCGCGATCGTGGGCGTTGAGGAATTTTTGTCCGCTCCTAGAAACTCTGGAAAATATCTGTATATTTTGACGCTAACATTACTAAATTTTCATTTTCCTATTTGACAAGTCTCGGCCTTTAATTTGTTTGTAAAGGCGGTTATAAACGAAAAATTAGAATTTTTTTTACTATTTCATTCACAAATATATCCACTTTCAAGAGCACATTTTCTGTTCGTTTTCCAGTTTAAAAGCACTTGCGCCGTTCAATCGTCATCAGCTCAGTAGAAGGCAAGTATCAGGTCATTATAATCTAATTTAAAATGTGGTAACTCGAAAAAATTGTATTTACTCCTTTAAATTCTTTCACTGATGCGATTTTCGGATTAATCTTTTTCGTCTAGCGATCAATGAGTTCAGATAGAATATTTAATTAACAACTACCTATATGTGCTGCCTTGCCAAAATTCTACGGATTTCAGTACCCAAATTTACTTTACTTTTCGCCACGAGTGCTTTTGGCCGATGGCATGTGTTTTACTGAAGGCCTGAGCTCGGTCGAATGAAAAGCAACATACGCTCATTTCTTCACAAACTCCCATTTGCTTTCTTCACCTTTTTCGTTTCTAGCGAAAAAAAGACTAAATAATCTCTAGTTTTTGTAAGATTCATATACGAGACATCTTATATAAATTCGTGCAATTCACATGAATTATTATTTTCAATAGTAACGATATGGCTGCAAATGGCTTGCATTTTATGCTTGTGTTTCTAAATAAAAAAAAATGTTCATCGTAAAATTAATTTCTGAATTTTCAATATTTGTGAGGCATCTGAAAATAATTACAGATGCTACTGCTTCTATATACGCAATTAATGATATCATTCAACTAAAATATAACGTTTAACAGTAACGATATATACGTATATTTATTATAATTAGACGTTTGATTCTAGTCAAAAGTAACACATTTTATCAAAATGTGTGAGACCAAACGTTTTATATAATTTAGATTTATAGCGTACTTTACCCGGTATTTGGTGAAACTTGCACCATTACGTCATGAAATTTTTATTTTATTTTGTTTTTAGTCTATTTGACAGACTGTTGCGGGAAATATGCAAGTAATGCGTTGAATAAAATTCTAGAAGTAGATATTTCTACTGTTATTATTCCTTAACGTAGACTCGTTAGTTATCGTGCTTACCATACAGAATATTCTTTTGTTTATATTATAAAGCTATAAATGACTTATTATCTGACATTTCTCGACTGGTGGATTCCGCAATACCGCTAGATGTTATTCCTCAAAATTTAGAGCAATGCGAAATTTTTTTTCCTTGCCGCCAATGCGTATGTTACAGACAGCCTGCGTCTCTTCGTTCAGTGCAGCTGGCGTTCCAATAAACTCCTCGCAATTTGTTAGACTGAAGACTGAAGCATTTTATGTTTTGGCTTACTGCAGCAATATTATAAAACTCTCTTGCTATATTACGAGGAGTTATTCCTTTGAACCCTGAGCACTTGAAAAGTTTTCTGTAGCTAAATTTTTAAAACTCTTGGTTAAACGGACTTTAACAGATCGGCATTTATGCAAAGTCTACTCTGATTGTGCATTATTTTCATAATCTCATGCCTTCAGAAATGTAAAAAAACTCTGCTTGTGCATTGTTTTCATAATCTCAAGCCTTAAGAAATGTATATTTTTTCACGACCTTGATGATAAGAGATTTTTTTAGTAATTTTTGGTATGACGTTAAAGTTGATTAAATAATTTATCAAAACATAATTACGCTGCCGACTACACATGACAGGAACGCATGCACTAACAGTCAACTGTATTAATTATCACTCACCTGTAACTATTACTAGTGTTCTAGTGTCATCTGTAGGGCAACGCTAACGACCTCAGCGCTTAACCGCGCGCACGAGGCAGTTTGGCACAATCAGGATCGATGGTCATGGAATGCCGCCGCCCATTGAGCAGCTTTCTGCTCCTTGTTCTGTGACGTCAAGCTACAAATTATCCAGAAATTACTGAAATTAGAGACTAAATTTTTAGTTTTTATTCATTGATTTATGCTAATGATGTGTTCTATTCAGTATGGTAAATTATTTCATGGCCATCATTTAGTTCAGCATTTATTTAAGGTGTTTTTATTTAGTAAATTTTTATCGGTTTGCTCTAAGTTTTGCGCGAATAATTTTTTTGGGGGCATTTTAAACATTCGGAAAATAGGCATATTCATAGCTGGAAATATTAGTATGGAATTACTGCCTGTTAGCTCAGTGGTAGAGCACCAGCCCCTGAACAGCTGGAGGTCGCAAGTTCGAACCTTGCACAGGCTAAAGTTATTTTTTTACTTAAGTAATTCAAAAGTATTTTTGACTACGCTTTATTTAAAATATTTTATTAAATTCCACTCATGACTAGGCTCATGTATTTTGACGCATTGTCAAAGAATCGCACAGGAATTTGGTGGTTTCAATAATTCTGAGTTTTTAATAAAAGAAGTGAAATGTCAGGACTATTTCAATGTTGATATGTTGAGAAAAAAGTATAAAAAAATACTCGACTAAAACAAGTTTTCGGGTAGCACATTTCAGAAGTTCAGTATTCATTAATGTTTGTTTCTTTGAATGGTTAATGGTTCTATGGTAAATCATTTTATTATCGGTTTGATATGCATAAAATTATTCACCGTTATTATTATTATTTCTCAGTTTTGGTTTGGTGAATATAGAGTGACATGTGGTTGTGCTTCGTTCTTGTATATTGCAGAATTATCTTATATTGATCTGACTGACTATATTTGTTCTAATTCGTAAAAAATGATTGATAAATAATTTTTAAAGCTTCATTTAAGTCACAGCTGATATATCCATGCGGCGGTGTTTTCAGTGACCAGTATTGCCGTGGTTTTATTGCTTAATTATTATTACTTAATTAAGGCGTATTTCAATTTTCGGTCTTTTTGCCATTTTTTTACTCGGTGCTGCTGAGGGCTGCTAAGCAACCAGTGGGTTTGTTTCGCTTCGAAGATTTTGAGTCTCATTTTAATAATAAAAATCTCTGAGAAAAAGCTGAAAAATTGCGTAGCAATATTAGCAGCAAATCTGAAGACTAAAATGATCAAGTTCCATAAATATTCTAATCCAAAATCTGCAAAAATCAACTTTCATTAATGTTCTGAAACAAATTTTGCCGAGACTAGCGACTTTATTGTCAAAAGTTGATGTTATTCGTTAGTACATTCTTCACAAACGGTGTTTTTGAGCTTAAATGGAAATGAATTTTAGAAAATTGTTGTCATCTGCTCGTTTTTTCTTTATGTCGAATTTTTAGATGAATTTTGTCTGAACTCCGAAGAAGCACGCACGAAAATCTCAAAATTCATCAGGTGTTGACAATTCAATGATGTTACGTCTTTCAGCAAGCTGAAAATCATAATTCTGTTAAACATACAAAGAAAATTTGTTCTGCATTCACATCAGCTAACAGTTCAGTTCTTTATTCCGTGCTTTCAGCGGGAGAAGATGCGGACTGAGAAGGAAATTAAGATGTCAAAGCATGCCATCAGCCTTCATTATCACATAGCTTAATGCTCGTCGCTGGACTTATCCTTGGGTTCACAATGAAATGGCTTAAATTGATTAGGATTTTATTGTGATTGAAAAGGAAAGTATCACAATATTTTCCGAACATAACATGATCAGCTTCCAGGTACCAGAAGCATTCTTGTTACTGGCACGGTAGTCTCACTATCCTGGATAAATTAAGATTTTATTCAATTTCCATAATTTAAATCGTTCTTGCATCCTGTCGAAGTTATCGCAATAAAGTTTTTCTTGTTAACCCGCGCAAGATTAGCAGTTCTGTAGTAATTCGTGCTAATGAATAACTAGTTGAGTAATTAATTCTATTATGTACTAGATAGCGTCGTACAACTGAAGCTTCTGCTAAATCTTTCTTCTTGACTTCCCTTTCAAGCTTCATTTAGTGGCGTATAGTATGGTTCCGTAGTAGGTTCTGTGTAGTTTAATAGTCTCCTGAATTGACATTTTAAAATTATTACGTCTTTTATTTTTTATCCCATTAGACCATACCAACTATATTTTTAGTAGATTATTTTTTTGAGTAAAATTATTTTAATTTGAGTTTTTCTGTTAAAATTATGCTCTTGATTTTTTTCGACTCTCATCAATTAATTGTTTGCGTTTTGTAGCTGTTCTAAGATGAGTGTTCTCTTTTTGCAGGGAGGCGTGTCCCTTCAGGGAGGCAACACCACTCTGCACACTGTCATTCTGCACACTAAAATTCTGCACACTGTCATTCTGCACACTTCAGTT